ACATTTGCATATTCAGACCCCTCACAATAACTCGTTTCTACGCTTCGCGTATCCACGAGTTAAAAATGCAACTTGAAGTTTTGTCACGTGTGGGCTAGCATATAAAGACCCATCGCTCAAATCAAGAAATATTTTACCATTCAACTATTTATTTCATGTAGAATGAATACTGAAAGTATTGTTGAAGGGTTCATGAGCACTTAAGGTGTTTCGCTCGCACTTTTACTTTTTCCAATTTTCGATTTTTCTCGATTTTCTTGCGTTGAAGACTTTGAAGACTTCACTAAGGATGACATGATTATCTTTACTATTACCTTCCAATAAGTCTATTTATCAGCGTCGTTTTGGCCATATTTTGTCGTCCAACGACTACAAGATGCGGGATATCAAACGCATCTCTCATTGCTTCGTTAGTCACGGTGTCTTGAATAAAATCCAGAATTTGTCCAAATTCACTGCTTGTGCCATATTTTTCTGCTGGACACACTGCTTTATGAACGACTTCGTTTGACATTTTTGAGCGACCTTGGAAAGATATACCTAAATTAAATTAATCTAAATTTGAACCGCATGAACTGGATTACTAAAGCTAAGGCTGAAATATTCGTCAATGAATAACATAACCTGTCTTTTTGGACAAATATTCAAAATTATTGCAAGCACTTTTTACGGGCCAAGTGAAATGACTCTAGTACAACGTCTGATAAGCGGCTGTGTGAACAATTTGTGGCCTAAACATAAATGTTATTTAATTCTTACCTTGAATTTTATAAATTTACGACTGGTTCAAGCAAAAATGCGAATTCAAATGAGACTGTTTCTTGGAATACCAGTTGTTGACACAAAATTCTTGGAAACTTCTGGATGACGTCACGCGTCACGCTCGAGTTGCCCGAAATCATTAATTCCTAGTAAACTCGTAAAATACGCAAAGTGTAGAATATTTATTAAAGTATCTGCTTCGAAACTCAATAAAATAACCAGAAACTAAACAAAGTACAAATTGGAAGCAAAATATATGGCCCACACAGCATTTTAAGTAATATATACGATATAAGTGGGCGTGTCGTATACGATATGTAAACTCCAGGCATTTTATTGTTTGTATTGCCACTAATATTGTTTATTGCTTAACAAACGTCTAGGTTAGTTCCTTTGTGTTTCACTAAAATTTTCAAGATAAAAGTGAATCTGCCCAAACAAATCCAAGTTCAAGTTTATGCAAATGAACATGATTCTATATCAGAATTATGATCACCACGTCAACAGATCTGAATATTATCTCAAGCACAAATCCACCAGAAGGAATGATGATCGTAGTCAGCATTCGTTCCAATGTTTCAGGATCCTCTCTATATCGATGCATCAAGTACCCTGTCCCTGCGAGCCAAAGACCTCCAGTTGACAACTTGAACATGCATCTTACGACTAAATCGGCTATATGAAAAGGAAAGCTATCGTTACAGTCAAACTAGTCATGCGCTCCTATCAAGGTTCAAAGATTCAGTCATTTATTATTCGAAGTTTAATTTCCATCTTGCTTTGAAAATTACATTAAACAAACGTTGTAAATTTCAATCCCGTTCTTTACCTCAAAAAATTAAGATGTTCTTTTGTGAAAGGAGTTTTTGAACAAAACTGCACACCAAACAAATAACTTTAAAATGGTAGCTACGATTGTAGAAATAAATTTTGCTTTGCACGAATCTGTGAAGAACTAAATACAGCAGGATGGAAATCAAACTTCGAATAATAAAAACTGGATCTTTAAACCTTGATAGGAACGCATGAGCTAGTTTGACTGTAACATTGCAGAAGTATTTAGATATTAAATGCTATCAGTTTCAGGGTCCTAGTTGCTCTGCTAGACATGATATTCGTGTGGTTGTTCACTTTTACAAATGGTTCATGAACAGTATTGGTTAAGCACCTCCATGGACTTCTGTATTGTCGGCCGGCATATTGTCTTCTTCTATCCAGTCGACTGATCTAGACAAGTGGTACGAGTGCGCAGCGAGACGTAAGAGGAGCACAGGGAACCCAATATCTCAAAAATGCAAGTAGGATTCAGAGGGCATCCACGAGTTTCGCAGCCGTTCTTAAGGTCGTCACGCAACTTTGCGTGACGATGTCAATCATATGGAAGATATTGGTGGAACATATTCTTAATTTATTTGAGGGGCTTGAGTAGCGATTAATATATGCAGAGGCAGATGCAAGAGAGTATTTAGTGATTTGGTTGGCCTGCTAAGGAAGGTTATCCCTGCGGATCGAATTCCCTCACGTACGCGTGAAAACCTATTTGAGCAGCGCACTGGCCTAAGCTTGTAAGTCTGCATTCCTCGGATTCTTGACATTCCAGTTGGAAGTCAAAAACTCTGAAAAGCTGTGGCTACCATAGGTATATTATGACGTAATGGTAAGGTACGTCACGTGATAAGCACATGGCATGTGAGAAAAGGGTAGCGGTCAAGCACATGGAGTGCGAGAAAGCTTGTTGTTTTCTGTGTTTATTGGTAGCTAGAATTCCCAAATAGTTCGGTAAGTTTATATCGTTGGTAATTTATAGCATTTGTAAGCAACTGATTTAGGAACTTTATCGTTTATGTAGAAAACCGCCATTCACCAACGCAACGTATGAACACAGTGGTTCGTTGATTGTATAAGGTTATGTAATAAAGTTTGGTAAGATGAACAAGCAGGCGCGTTTCGTCTAATGATTTCCGTAGCTACCACCCGCTCCTGGGGTTAGGAGTAACAAAAGCTGTCTAATCTCTCGTATTCCGCGGGCCCAGGCCCCTTGGCGTTTTCTCATCAAGATTATGCTTGCGTACTTCTCTTGTCGCCCGCAATAATCAGACAGAGGTTGTTCCAGGGTTTGATAAATCTGATTTAGGTCGTTTCAGTTTTGGAAAGCGAAACCTGTGACGACATAATCTCTGCACAGCCTCCCAGATCATACGAGTGAAAAACCATTCATAATATGCATGATTCTCGTGAACTTGATCGGAACAGTTGGGTATTGTATATAGTTTTAAAACTATGCCTTCATACTCATTGGTACCTTATCAAAAAAGCTGGTTTTTTGTCTTCACTTTGGTTACTTTAAACCTTCTTCTTACGCCTGCAGCACCATCAGCAGATAACTACGGTAAGAAAACATTTTCATCACTTTCTGGCGCCAGTATTGCTTTACAACAAAGCTAGAAAAGAAAAAGCGCTTATATAGGGAAAGTCAGAAGCTTAGTGGGAGAGAAAGCCAAAGCTTTTGCACTTTTTTCAGAATAAAAAAAAGACGCGAAGGCACTCTTCAATGGGAGTATGTGAAATTTGTTCAAAGATTTTTGCAGATCAATTTGAAGAACATAAATAAGTTAGAATAAAAATAACTAAGAAATGATTATTGAAAACATTACTTTAAACTGGTCACCCTTTCGTAAAGGGTTTACTCCTCACTGATTATCAATAAGCCTTTTCATAGTTTAAGAATCGATTCCACTGCGCATGCGATTTTATCCCGAATTTCTCACCTTCTTTTGTCTAAACCTTCTTTTGTTCTTAATTAAACAAAAGAAGGTGAGAAATTCGGGATAAAATCGCATGCGCAGTGGAATCGATTCTTAAACTATGAAAAGGCTTATTTCAGTCGTTCTTTTTTCTTTCTTCTTCTTCTTTAACTCCTTTTGTTGTCGTTCTCTTGCATTTGTTGCTCTTCTTGTTATTTTTAGTTCTTCTTAATGAGCTTTCTTGGTCTTCTCTTTCTTTGGGACCTAAAAATTGATGAGACTTCCTGCTTATGAACCTAAAAACATCCGAACGCAATTTTTAGCCTTAAGAGCTTTTTTGAGTGTTATGTTAATACTCTCGTAACAGCACACACGACTTTCATAACTGGCTGCTGCTAATTTGCATGAACATTAAAAATCAATGTTTTTGGAGTGAAAACCCTTTTAAATCATTGATCTTGTTGATTTAGATAAGGCGTGTGAGTTTCTACTTAAATTAATAAATCCTTTACAAGATGTGAGCATTTGAAGTTTTGAAAATGTACCAAAACGAGGCCACCAAGGCTTCCAGTGATAAATACATACAAAACTCTCTATTTTCGTTCTTTCATAACTTCTTTGGTATGCAGTCAAATTCTACAAACTTTTCTGGAAATAGTTTTCGTGAAGTATTTTCTCAGATAGCATTAATAGTTTCAGATAAAAAGGCTTCATTTTTCTCTATCTGAAAAAACTGAGTTATGAAAGTCGTCTTTTCCCATTAAATATATCCGATAGAAAAGTATATGTCTTAATCTAATGCTACTTTAACTCAGACCTAAATTTACGCAAAATCCTATTTTTATTTCTCGACCCCCCAGTAAGAATAAATGAATATTTCAGTGCCAGTGCATAATATTCAATTCTCTAGTTCAAACAAACTCTAGTTTCCCTTTTACCCTATTTGCGAGCTATGAATTTGAAAAAAAAATTTTTTTTCAGAATTAAAGATTTTCTTCAGCATGGAAGGATACGACTGTCTGAAACAGATCACGCCAACCCATAACTTGACTATCGACAAATCTTTTACACCAGAACAGGAAAAACAGGTTTTATTGGATATCTTCCACGTCACCAATGGGCAAGACTGGTACAATCAATCGGGATGGAGCTCTCCAAACAAGACCTCACACTGCTATTGGTATGGAATTAGTTGCCATAGTAACACATCTTACGTCATGAGCATTGTATTGGCTTACAACAATCTTGAAGGTATTCTACCAAGAGGTCTCTGGAAGCTTCGCAATCTTTTGTCCTTGTGTATTCCGGGTAATCCAAAGGTTTACGGGACTATGGAGGAGTTCATATTTGCCAATATGAGTCAGCTACAAATTATCCATCTTAATGGCGCGTCGATCAATGGGGATATCCCAGAGGCAGTGGGGAATCTTTCCTTGCTGCAAAAGCTGTTTGCCACAGGGATGAATGGCAACGGTTTGTCTGGCAACTTGCCCAATAATATCGGAAACATGAGAGAGCTGTGGCTGCTTGGAATCGGAGGAAACAGCTTTACAGGTCAAATACCACGAAGTATTTCCCAGCTAAGAAGACTGCGTTACCTTTAATTACGAAATTCTCCAGGGAAAATGTGGGGATATATTGAGGATCTGTTTTCAATTCCATCAATGGAAAATCTTTATGTATCTGGAATCGATTTAAAAGGAGACTTGCCTAGTACTTTTCCATCAAATTTATCAGATTTGGTTTTAACTGGCAATAACATTCATGGACACTTACCAAGGATATTCCCAAGACGGTTGCATGCTCTCAGTGTGGCTAATAACCAACTGGAGGGAGACATTCCTAAAGAGCTCTTCTTCCTACCAAAAATAAGAATCGTTGATGTTTCACAGAATCTCTTCAAGTCCATTAACCATGGTAAAACATGGCCACCTAGAGAGAAAAGCTATGCAAAGTATGTATCTTTGGCTGGGAACAGAAACTTGTCAATTGAATTTGAAAGCTTCGTGGGTATTTTTCGGGACAAGATTGATTCTGGTTTAAACCTAATGATGTTGAATTTGAGTTTTTGTGATATTAACGTGCCTTTTTCATCACAACTGCAATACGTGGACACTTTGTTAACATGTGATCTTAGAGGTAATCAGTTTTATGGGGAGATTCCTGATATTGCCATTGACACTCTTTATGTTTCCTACCTTGACGTCTCACTTAATAACTTATCTGGTGACCTTCCGAAAGGAATTCAAAGTTTGCTGTCATTACAGTATTTGGACATTTCTGGGAATTCTGCCATGAAACAAGGAATCAGGAAGTCGGAAAATGTTTTTCGTCCAGACTTTACGCGAATGACAAGACCACCAGTTGCAGACAACTTCTCTTGTCCAGAAGGGAAGCTTACATTCAATAATGGACGTGTGCGTTTGGACTCTGCATTTTATCAATACAAATATTGTCTTTGTGATTCAGGATTTTATGGAGAAAGTGGCTTGTGCAGGAAATGCATGCCAGGAGGCACGTGCGAACAGCCAATTGTCATGACAACCAATGAGCTACAACCAGGCACCATGAAGATGCATTCTGGTTACTGGCCGTCACCCATTGCTAGTGAAGTGACTCATCTTGTACGATGTCCAGTTTCCAAGGCTTGCAACCCGGATGGTGACTGTACCTGTCGTCTCCAGACTTCAAGCAACCTGACCAGCCAGTTCTCCAATCGCTCCGTGTCATCTCTCATCACAATGTGTAACACGTCTTGTATCTGTCACCAAGGAAACATGGATAGGTTTTGCTCTCGTTGTCAGAGAGGATTCTACAAAACCGGTGGATTGTGTTTCCCTTGTCCAAAAGCTAAAGATAATCTTAGTTTTTATATTTTTATCCCTGTCTTTGCCGTCACCATTCTTGTCATGCTTTGGTCGTTCCTCTATTTCAAGGCTGCACCGAAAACGGCCTTCATTATTCTTGCAATGGAGTTTCTTCTCATGTTTGTGTTTACGCTGCTGGAAATGATGCCAGCCTGGGTGTTTAAGCTAGACGTTGTTATATTTGTATTGTGCATGACCAATCGAGGCAAAGTTGCACATTCTCTCATCAAAATTGGCGTCTTTTACATCCAAACTCTCGATTCTATGGTATCCACTGTTGACGTGTGGCCCAGACAAGTCTATGCTGTACAGCATTACATCAGCAATTTCTGGAACTTGCAATTTTCTTCGTTGTCGTGTGAGGTTTCTCTTCTGTTCACGCCTATCGGCAGGTTTGTCTTCGTTCTTCTCCTCCCAATAATTTGTGTACTTTTGATAGGCTTCTACTTCCTGATATCGATTGCTTATCACAAATATAAACACCAAGAAGATCGCACTACAACAACTCGGTTTAAGTGTCGTCAGTTGACCATGTCCTTCCTCAACTTCACCTACTTTCCTATCGTCGGAGCGACAGTGTCTGTGCTTCGTCCTTGTGATGATGACCAAGGTATTCAGTTCATGCCTAAAACACCCTGGATAGAATGCAACAGTAAGACATACCACGTTCTGTCAATAATGGGATGGATTTCGGTGTTTTTGTATGTGACCGGCTTTCCTTTAATTCTGTTCATTTTGATGGCTCTCTTCTTTAGAAAGAGATCCTCAATGAGCGTTGATGAACAAAGGGACATGGATTCCTGGCTTGGATCATTATATTTGCCATACAAACCCAAATATCAGTTGTACTTTGAGATGATTCTAGTTCTTCGACGCTTATTTCTTGCTTTTGCATTGTCTTTCCTTGCATCGTTAGGATCTGTTCAGACTGTAGCTGTATGGTGCATCCTCATTGTGGCAGCCATAATCCAGTTTCGCTTGCAGCCAYACGAGGCACCCACAAGTCGTCGCTGTTCACTGGAAAACGCCTTCGAGTTCATAACACTGTTTGTGTTATCACTATCATTCATGGTTTTGAGATTTGCAGCTTTGGGTAGCTCATTTGCCAACTTGTTCGTCTGGTCTGTCATGGCTGTAAATGGTTGTGTTCTTGTAGTTTTGGTTACATGTGTTATGTATCTGTTCGCTCGTCCTAATGCCTGCCTACGAAGACCTGAAAGGAACGAAGATAGTAGTTATCTTATTAATCAGTTATCCACACAAGATGAATAGGAAATTCGACTTATTGGCGTATAGTATGAAGAAAGGCGGTTGACCCCGGTTCAAAACCCTGGGCGCAGAACCACGTCAAGTGTACTTACCCTTGATCCAAACCGGAATTACATAAAGTCCAAAGCAAGTCTTCTTTCTCCAAAAATGTTCTGATGGTTAATAACTGTTACAAGTTCAATTTCGAAAACGTAATACTGTACTGGTACGAGCAAATTCCAAATTTCTCGATATAGTAGAGAGAAGATTTGAGGTAGAAAAAGGCTCACAACTTCCCTACATAATTTTCCATAGTCGATTTTTTCTGCATTGACAACAAAGCGAAAGAGAGTAATCACGACTTCTCGGTGCGACGAAAATAGTTGGACTAGGCGCGCAAACCAAGCTAGGTAAACATCCTCCTTTGACGAGACGTCTTCAAGTGGTTATATTTCAATCCCAGTAAAGGTTTTTACAAAATGAAGTTATATTTAAGTTAGTGCAGTTTTCGTATGACTGTGAAAAGTTCACGGCACGAACACGGTCGTGACTCGGCAAGGGATACAGCACACAAATCACATTTCACGAGAACTTACTCTTCATCCAATCAAATACCCGGAACACGGCATAAACACGGCGCGGACACGGTCACGGTCACAGCACTTTTAGACCAATCATATTGGGCGTGAAAAAAATCAGCCAATTAAAATTCTAGAAAGTATCACGGTCACGGCACGTCACGCTTACGGCACCGAGCTTTTCACAGTCATACGAAAACTGCACTATTTACGCCGATTGCGTTTAGAATTAAAGATTAAATTAACATTATATCCGTTTTTTAAAAGTTTTATTATATTCGTCTTTCCATGTTTCATGGTTTAATTTTCATTAAAATAATTCTCTGAGTTGCGTGACAAAGATTGCGTTACAAGTTATGACGTAACGCTTAGACGCTTCGTGACAATGGCATAAATTTAAAAGATACGACATGCACTACACAGGAACTCAAAACGATTGGTTCAAAAATAATGGAACAAGAGAAATTTCTCTTGGTAATTCTTACAGACATCTAAATGTTGTACGATGCGTGACTAGAAATGGGCTTCCTGTGGCGTTGTATGTAGCTCAGCTTCTGAGCAATTACGAATCACATTTTCAAAAAGTACGATCTGAATTCATTTGAACATAATAAAAAGGGAGATTTCATTATTCACTGAAAATATTATGGAACAAATTTGAATTTAAGAAGTTTCCTTATTAGTAAGAAAAATTAATTGACTATTCTGAGAGGCAGCAATTAAAAAGGGCATGGCAGCACGTGTTTGGGTATAATAGGTGTGGCAACACGTGGTCCCGTTGGGTGTGGTCAAAAAAARACAGGTTTACTAAACAACACAAAGCTAACAAAATTCTACCACGACCACTCCCCAGGGGAATTCACTGAGGTATTTCTAACGGCTATGACGTCCCCACACTACATTTTTTGGGGACACAGAGGTACCTATGGAGGGGAAGTCTAGGGCATTAAATGTATCGGGTGGTTGTGGGAACTGGGCTTCTTGATGGTTAGATTCCTTGGCTGGAGTGGATTTTGGTTTTGCGTTACTCCAAGGTGCGTCACGCACAACGTAACCTTGTGGCTCGGATGACGAGTTCTTGCTTGGCGGGTGCATGTAGTAATTCACCATGTCGTATTCCTCGATTTCTTCCTTGATGTCTTGCATCTGAAAAAGAAAAAAGAAGCGTAAGAATTCACACTTCACAGTTCCCTGCGCCATCTTGAAAAAGTAACCGTGCCTGTGCATTGAAGCGAGAATAGCAGTGAGCTTGCAAGGTAGCCGTGCCCGTGCATCGAAGCGAGAACGGCGGTGACCTTGCAAAGATAGGAGACGTGAATATTTTCCAAGGCGTTCTCGCTTAGATACACAGGCACGGTAACTATTAGTCTTGCTAGAGTTGAAATGCGTTGGGCTGTTTTCGAGGGAACCTTTATCAGTCAGTTGACATTTTATGTATCAAGAAACGAAAGAAATTAGAAAACTGACACGATAATTAAGGTTTCATATCATTTATTGAGAAAGGAAAGGTGTCTGAGTTCAATAATATAACTAGACTAGCACGATGTTCACTCTGAAACCAATGAAAACAAAGACACAATCCTCCCCCAAGACCGAGATAAAACAGCACATCTACTTACGTATTCCTCCTCAAGGAGCTCAAGCTGTTCCTTGGCTTCTTCCACGTCAGCAGCAAGACCCGTGATGGTAACAGGCTCGTTACCCTTGGTACGGGGGAAGCGGATGTCAACCTTGTACGTATCCATGAACTTCCTGATGGTACGCCCCTTGGATCCGATCAGACGGTTATGAATACGTGGATCGATGTTCAACTCCACGGTTACTTGATCTTCCTAATGATGAAGAATACCAGAAAAGACATTCAGAGAACAAATTATCGAACCCTGGAACAAACTCTTGGCTGATCTAAGTCAGGGCATGGCTAACTCACAGATTGAACCCTGAAACAACCTCTGGGCTGATC